CTATAGACAGCTGACTTACATGCATACGGGAGTAAATCGTATCTAAGGCCTTATCGTTATATCCAACATTAGTTATGTTAGTTTGGGACCACTTAGTTTCAGGTTTAACTACTTGCGTTCCGTCAGCACTAGAACTGGCTTTGGTCGGATGAGTCCAACCTGTCACCACATTTTTTTTCTTAAGTCGGATCTGGTACATCCATTTTTTCCAAATGTAAAGTTGAGATTGGACCTCACTTTGACAGCTGTGGTTGTCCGGCTGTCCTCGCCGGACAGCCACGGCTGTCTGTGAATGGGCAGCCACCGGCTGTCCTCGCTGGACAACCGGTGGCTATTATTATTATTATTATTATTATCATTATTATTATTATTATTATTATTATTATTATTATTATTATTATTATTATTATTATTATTATTATTACTTTTTAAATTATTTTATTTTATTTTATTTATTTATTTTTTAATAATTAATAAATATGTAACATGTAAAAAAAAAAAAGCTAATTGAACAAATTAACTGGTAAATCGGTCTATTTGACAATTAATTTAGTTCGTGGTGGAAATTGAGTACTTCGCAATAGTAGATGGGCCTATTTGACACTTGTGCCTTTATATTATTTTGGACTGAAGACAACAAACGCAGTGACATTTTCATAATTATTATCGATCAACTTTACTATGCAAAAGTCAATTTTAAAAAAATAAATAAATTATGTAAGAATTTTTTTTTATAACCATTACTTAAGAAATATAGTTGTCAATATTGTTGGATATGTGCGAAAAATAAAACACATCGAAATTTTATAAAAATATTCATAACAAAATATGATACATAATTAATTTGAGAAAATAATTTGAATAGAAAACACATTATAAATTACACATATTAAATATTAAAAAAGTGAGTGTGTTGAAGCCATAGGAGAAGAACTCAAAAATATGTAAAACTATGTTAATGCAAGGATTTGAAACCAAGACCTTTTATATTCACAAAGACATACTGTTATAATAATATTATTATTATAATTGTTAATCCAAGTAAGATGAGTTAGTTGGTTAAAAATAATGGGAGTAATTATAGGTGCAGTACATGGCCATGATGTTAGCTTTACATGGAGCATTAATTCCTTAATTTTAGCATTTGAGTTATCTTATCTAGTATAAATAGTCTTTGTATTCAAGATTTTATTATCAATCAAGTTATCCATTCCTCTCTCCCTCTTTCTCTAATATTATATATATATATATATATATATATATATATATATATATATATATATATATATATATATTATAGATATATTATATTATATTTAATATATATTATATTAAATATATTATATTTAATATATCTAACATTTGGTATCAGAGCCAGTCAACCTTTCAACCCCGAGATATTTCCCGTAGTGAAATATGGCTGCAAATTTCAATATTGTATGGACGGGTCCCAAATTGGACGGGAAACTCGATTACAATTATTGGCAAATTATGATGTCCACACATTTGCAAGCTCAAAAAATTTGGAGCTTTGTTGATCCCGGTCTACCCGAAGGAGCTGAAGTAGGCGCTATACGGCGAGATAAATTGGCCTTGGGTCAGATTCACCAAGGTGTTCATTATTCCATTTTTGGGCAATTAGCTCGTGCTCAAACAGCAAAACAAGCTTGGGACATCTTAAAGGTGTCACACAAAGGAGTCGATCGGGCGCAGAAGTCTAAGTTGCAGTCGTTGAGAAGGTTGTACGATAATTGTGAGATGACCTCTACAGAAACAGTAGATGCGTATTTCACTCGTCTTATTGATATGGTGAATAAGATGAGGCTATATGGAGATACGATTGAAGATGGTGCAGTGGTTGAAAAAGTTCTTCGAACTATGCCGATGAAGTATGACCATGTGGTGGCTTCGATCACAGAGTCACACAAAACTGAGCTCTTATCAATTGCAGAGCTGAAAGGTATGGTAGAAAGTCATATTGACAGGATTGCGTCAAAATCGGAACCACTAGCAGAAGAAGCTTTGAAGAGTCAAGTCACCCTTAATGTGACTGGCACTAATCAAAGAGGTGGAGGATCTGGTAGAGGTCGTGGAAGAGGAAGGGGAGGTTCTGGTGGAAGAGGTCGTGGTAACTTCAACCAAGGAGGAGGACGTGGTAACTCCAACCAAGGAAGAGGTGGAGGTAATACCAAACAAGGTAAATTTCCATTTCATTGCTACAATTGTGGCAAGTATGGACACAAGATTGCAGATTGTTGGTATAATGAGGACAACAATCGTGGAAATCAAGCAAACATTGCTGAAAACACTGCTGAAAAGTCTGGTGAGAGTTCTGAAACTTTACTTTTAGCCAGCGATAGTTTTTCTGCAGATAAAAACATATGGTTCTTGGATACTGGGTGTAGTAACCATATGTGTGGGAAGAAAGAATTGTTTTCCGAACTAGATGAATCAGTCCGGTCTGAAGTAACGTTTGGCAATAAGTCAAAGGTGCCAATTTTGGGAAAAGGTAAAATCTCTATTCAGTTGAAGGATGGTACTCACAATTTTATATCCGATGTGTTCTATGTTCCTGAACTACACCAAAATTTGTTGAGTATGGGTCAGCTGTCAGAAAAAGGATATAAGATACATATTGCTCAGGGGTGTTGTACCATTGAAGATGCTAAAGGAGTTTTGATTGCAAAGGTAAATATGTCCCAAAATCGACTATTTCCTTTGAAAATTAAGCATACTCTCATTGATTGCTTTAATTCTGAAGTTTGTGATGATAATTGGTTATGGCATATGCGGTTTGGGCATTTTCATTTCTCTGGATTAAACTATCTTGCGAGAAAGGAACTTGTTTCTGATTTACCTGTTGTGAATGTCCCTGATCGTATCTGTGAGATTTGTGTGATTGGGAAGAAGCATAGAGATCCCTTTCCCATGGGCAAGTCAAGGAGAGCTACAAAACAGTTGGAGATTGTTCACTCATACCTGTGTTCGTTGGAGGTTCCTTCACATGGAGGTTGTAAGTACTTTATTACTTTCATTGATGATTTCAGTAGAAAAACATGGGTTTACTTTCTGAAGCAAAAGTCTGAAGCATGTGATGTTTTCAAATAATTTAAGGCTTTTGTTGAAAAGCAGAGTGGTTATGAGATTAAAATCTTGAGAACTGATAGAGGTACAGAATATATTGCCTGTGATGATTTTCTGAAAAAGAAGGGTATTCAACATCAGATGACAGCTAGATACACTCCACAACAAAACGGAGTGGCTGAGAGGAAGAATAGGTCTATCATGGATATGGTAAGGTGCATGTTGAAATCCAAGGATCTGCCTAAACCTTTTTGGGCAGAAGCTGTTGCTTGTGCTGTCTATATGTTGAATAGGTGTCCAACTAAGAGTGTCCATGATAAGACGCCCGAAGAAGCTTGGAGTGGGAGAAAACCCTCTATCAAATATCTCAAGGTTTTTGGATGTTTGGCATATGCCCACGTGCCGGATCCATTGAGAAAGAAGTTGGATGATAAAGGTGAGAAATGCATATTCATTGGTTATAGTGACGCTTCAAAGGCTTATAAACTATACAATCCTGAAACTAAAAAGGTTGTTATAAGTCGTGATGTCACTTTTGATGAATATGGTGCTTGGGATTGGTTAGCTAAAGATGAAAGTTCAGTTGTTATTCCTGCTGTTGAAAATATTGTTGAAGAGCAACCGATTCCAGATAATGTCCAGTCTTCTTCACAGCCAGAGTCGTCAGTTCGACGATCTCAGGGCGAGCGCCACTTACCAGCTCGCTTGCAAGATTATGTTTTGGGTCATGATAATGACTTGTCGGATGAAGAGATTATTCAATTTGCTCTTTTTGCAGATTGTGACCCTTTATCCGTTGAGGAGGCTGCTACAGAAATTCATTGGCTTAAGGCGATGGATGAGGAGATACGTGCCATTGAAAAGAATGGTACCTGGGAGTTAACAGATTTACCTCCTGGGAAGAAGCCAATTGGAGTAAAGTGGGTTTACAGAATGAAATACAAGTCAGTATATCCAACTTGAAGACGAAGACATTTCTTAAATTGAAGAAGGAAATTGGGATGACCAATATATCCAACTTGGTTTAAAGGAGGCAATGTTATAATAATATTATTATCATAATTGTTAAACCAAGTAAGATGAGTTAGTTGGTTAAAAATAATGGGAGTAATTATAGGTGCAGTACATGGCCATGATGTTAGCTTTACATGGAGCATTAATTCCTTAATTTTAGCATTTGAGTTATCTTATCTAGTATAAATAGTCTTTGTATTCAAGCTTTTATTATCAATCAAGTTATCCATTCCTCTCTCCCTCTTTCTCTAATATATATTATATATATATATATATATATATATATATATATTATAGATATATTATATTATATTTAATATATATTATATTAAATATATTATATTTAATATATCTAACACATACCTTACCAACTAATCTAACTCCTTACTTGTTAACATTTATTAGTTTTTTTTTATACTAATACTAAAATCTATACTATATATACATACAACGATTATATATAGAGTGGGGGTACGGTGAGGGGGGCAGCTGACCCCCCTGCCCCCCTTTGGCTCCGTCCCTGATTCTGGAAACTTTCTCTCAAAAATAATAATATTCTGCGATCAAAAAGGCGACCGATTTCTGTTCCGTCGTTAAATGGCGACGGAATTGGCGACCGATTTCATTCCGTCCTTAAATGAATTAAACTATAGATTATGGACTAAATATGGCGACGGAAATTGCGACCACCTATATTCCGTCGCAATAATTTAATTAAATTTTATTTTTTTCTACTTAAACGCTGCGTTTTGACTACGAAATATGAATTAAATTAAAATTATAAAACATCAGAACTCCCTCGTGAACCCTAAGTCCTAAAATTCTCAAAGACATCACCGTGAACTCCAGAACACTCCCTAGCTCGCGAACACCATCGTAATACTCCATAGCCGTCATCACCGTGCGCCGTCGCCGTGCCGCCGTGGTCATCACCAAAACTCCATAGACGTCGCCTCCTCCTCCATTTCTGACCGGTAATCTTTTTTATTACTCATTTTCTGGAGACTTCAATTTTAATTTCTGGCCTTTGGTTTATTGGAAATTACTGTAGACTCCAACTTCTCCTAGAGCCAAATCTAAGTGTATCACGGTGTAGTGTATAATGCTTGGGAGATAAAGGCTAAAAGAAGATATGCTGATTACATAAGCAGAATAAGGAAAATGCCAAGATCTCCTTATGTCCCACCAGAAATATGGACAAAATGGAATGATGTTTGGAAGTCTGAGGAGGGCAAGAAGAAAACAAAATTGGCTAAGAGAAATAGGCGTGGAGGAGTTTTAACTAGAGTTTCTCAATCTACCCATACCACAGGATCAACACCTCACGTAAAAGTTGCAGCTCAACTTGTAAGTTATTTGAATTGTTTAAGTTATAAGTATTATGTGTTTTGTATTATATGAAAATAAGATATGGAAACCTGAGATTTATTTGAACTTGAATGATTTGATAATGAGGATTGATTGAACTTAGGAGTAGAAACTGCAGAGTTAATTTGGGAAGCACTAGCTTAAATCTTTTAATGAGGATTCTAGGTAAAATGAATAACTAGAGTTTACTTGACTCTAACTTTTATGTTTTTTGTTGATTGTGATTGTGTTTTATTGTGTTTATTGATTGATGTTGGAGATTATAATTGAATTGTATTATATATTGAACAGGGAGATAGTCTTATATACAAAGGAAACTCTGCCGAATTTTTTCTTACTCTAATAATTGCTTTTGTTTGTTAAATATAATTTGTAGGAAGGACAATTGGGTCATTGTCCATCGTATTATGAACTATTCAGGCATACACATACCAAACAACACGATGGGAAAACATTCATAGCTGAAAAAGCCAAACAAATTCATGTAAGTTTAATTTGTTTTAAGTTTTTAAAATATCTATGCCTTTACATATATTTTGCACTAAATCTCTAACATATTTTAGGAACAAGTTGAATCGCAACGGGAGATGTTGGCAGAAAATGGGGAGCAGGTGGATGACAATCAATTATACTATGACGCGGTTGGTGGACACGATAAGAAAAGAAGAGTTTATGGACTTGGTTCATATGGTTGTTCTGTTGTTCATGGTCCAACTAATGATAACACTTCTGGCAATATGACACCAACATCGCGACCACCCGACAATGCTACTTCTACTTCTGCAAATGTACAACATGAAATTCAGAGTTTGAAGGAAATTATTCTCCTTATGCAACAATGACTTGATGCTATTGATGGCGGGAGAGCGGGTACTTCATCATCACCTCCATCTGCAATCAATTGATTTTAATGGTTGTTTGTTAATGTTGTTTAGACTTGAATTGACTATTATATTATGTATTAAGTGTGGATTGATAATGTATTATTATGTTGTTTAGACTTGAATTGACTATTATGTATTAAGTGTGGATTGATAATGTATTATTATGTTGTTTAGACTTGAATTGACTATTATATTATGTATTATGTGTGGATTGGTAATGTATTAGTATTATAACTTAATTTAGAATTATGCTATTTTTTATTTTAAAAACATTCATTACTATTTACAATCAAATTTTAAAATAATTCAAAAACGCGACAGAATATAAATTTTGCGACGGAATATTTGTTGCCAATGAAGCGACGGAATTACGACGGAAAACATTTCCGTTGCGAAATTGGCGATGGAATTCGCAACGGAATAATTCCGTCGCCGAATGGCGACGGAAATATTCCGTCGCGAATTCCGTCGCCAAACGTTGCGACGGAATTATTCCGTCGTCTACCAAAAAACGACAAGGCGATAGACGACGGAATAAATTTCGTCGCCATTCCGTCGCGAAACGCGATTCGCGACGGAAAAATTCCGTCGCGATTCGCGATTTTTCTTGTAGTGACGACATCGTTAAGTCGGAGTAAATATGTAATTTAGTTGTTTTTTCCCTCCCTCGATTCAAAGTACCAGCGATGGATAACGGTGGGGAACCACAGGTCCGTTACGGGAGGGGCTATATGTGCACCATTTTGATAATTGAGGGGCAACATTTACACCACTCATAATTCATGGGTGACATTGATAATTGACGTATTATAGAGGGACATTTTTTACAATTTTCTCTTAATTTGTCAATTAAGTTAGCCAACATAAGAGGGTTTAATGTTTATCATTTGTACACTTACAATCTCCCCTTTGGCAAATTAATTGGCAAAAACTATCGCATATATACTTTGGACAAACAATAAATTAATATTTTAAAAAATTTCATTAATAACTTGCCCTTAGTATATTTGCTTGACATAAAACCTATGTGTTAGAATTTATTGACAATTACCAAGACACTTTGAACCATGCTCAATCCATAATGCTTCAGGCTCAACAAGCAAACTTATAATTCCAATAGAGTACCAAATAGATAGATAATAAGTAGAAGCCCAGAATACCAATAGAAATAGACAGTTAAGTTAAATAAAAGCTTACCATCCAACACAAGGCATACTTCAACCCATAATGCTACCAAAGCCAATATGCCAACACAGAATCCGTAATCCATAACAAAAAATAGATCAATAAAAAAACCATATACTCCCCCTTAATCAAAAAACCATATACTCCCCCTTAATCCAACCATATTCCCCCTTATTATACTCACTCCCCCTTTTTTCCAATAAATTGACAAAGGTGAACGTCAATAGTGGATTGAGTCTGACAGAGTGCCCGATTGGACTGATCCTGCACAAGAGAATTAGAAACGAGAAACGCAGAACTTGATAACAATTTTAACAAATAACGTATAAGCACAAGTCAAGTTGGAGCAGATTAAGTAGATAAAACGTAACATACCAAGTAAAAAACGCATTCAAGCACAAATTCGTAGCAAATAACACAAAAAGCACACAATTGGGTCACTCAAAGAGACAGATTGGTAAATAAGACAGTAAGCACATTTAGGCAAAGCATATTCAGCCAGAGATTCAACTAAAGCAACATTAGGCACATATTCATATAAATCTAATTTAGGCACATATTCATACCAGATAGCATGGGAAAACACACATACGGTCATGACCGGACTAAACACATAACATAGAGCAAGATTACAGATAACACTTTTATGGAGAATGCAGGTAAATCAATAGGTACATTCAATGTGAGAGCATGTAGGAACAGAACCATTAATTCAAAAGATAAATTCTATGATCCTGAAACAGATTCTATCACAGATGCAGAATATTACACTGGCAAAGATGAAGAATTGTCAAGGTTTGATGAATTCAAGGATATTGAAGTAGAGGGCACCAAATTAGGTAGAGGAACACATAAAAACTCAGCTTTAGACATAGGAAAATTTGCAGGTATTTCACAGGACACATTAGACAATGACACCCTAAAATATTCATGAAATCAACAAAAGGAATTAGAGAGTAATGAACCTGTAGACCTATCACCAAAGATGATGGCAAAATTAATTTTGAAGATAGATGATCTATTGTGGATGCGTGTTGGAATGTCAATGTTGTCTTGATCAGTGTCAGATTCTGATTCTGGTTCTGGGTCAGGTTCAGATGGCGTGGGTGATTCTGGATCTGGTTCAGGAGTTTCAGGATCAGGAGTTTCAGAACGGTTTGCATCAGGTTCTATCATTGACTCAGGTTGTGAAACTTCAACAATATCATTCGGTTGATCATCAATTACAAAATTTGTAGACTCGATGATGGTCTTGGTCACTTTGTTGTAAAAAATGTGAAAGTAATTAATATTCGGTTTCTTACCTTTCCATACTTCATACGGTGTTTGACTTGTGCCTGACCGAAGATAGACTCGGTTGGGGATGTGACATGTGGTGTTTACAACTTCTGTCCAGAATTTTTGAGGTAATCCTTTGGCGTTGAGCTGGACTCGTCCCATTTCTTGAATGATGCTGTTTTTCATTCAACGACTCCGTTTTGTTGAGGTGTCTTTGGTGCCGAATACTCGTGGGTAATTCCTGATTGATTGGAAAAGGCATCGAACAAGTTGTTGTCGAATTTCCATCCGTGATCACTTCGAATTCGAATAATAGGTTCATTTCTTTCCTTTAGGAGTTTCAGTCCCAGTGTTTTGAAAGCTTCAAGTGCTTCGGATTTTTCCCTAAGAAAGATTACCCACGAAAAACGTGAAAAATCATCAACACATACCAGTATGTACTTCTTACCTCCAAAACTCCATGTTTAAGTAGGACCAATAAGATCCATGTGGATCAGTTCTAGGCAGTGACTCGTCATTATGGTATGTTGAGCTGGATGAAATGATTTGGTCAGTTTCCCAACTTGGCAGGCACCACAAATGGTTGATTCGACTTTCATCTTGGGTAAACCACGAACACCTTCCATCCTCATTAGTTTATCAAGTAGTATGTAACTCAGATGCCCCAGTTTTTGGTGCCATAGCTCAGCTTCATCTATGCTGGTCCTGCAACAGAAGATATTTTAGTTAGAATATAGCAATTGTCAGTTGACCTTTTACCTTCCATAACGCATTGATTTGTTTTGTCCAAGACAATGCATTTATTTTTTTTGAAGCACACGTTCCAGTTTTGGTCACATAGTTGACTTATACTTATGAGATTTGCGTGAAGTCCATTGACTAGCAATACTTTTTCTAGTTTTGGCAGGCCAATGACATTTAGCGTGCCGATGCCAGTGACATGACCTTTAATACCATCACCAAAGGTAACTTCACCTTTGCTTGCATTTACGTTACTTATAAATTTGGCATTTCCTGTCATGTGACGGGAACACCCGCTGTCAAAGTATCATTTCTCTTCTCTTCATGCACTTTTAGAGTGAAAAGAGACAAACGAAATATAGTCAGTCTTTTTAACCTAAATCTATTTTATAAAGGGTTGGGTGTTCATGTGCGTGAATTTCTCGATTCTTTGACACTTGTAGAAGTAGTAGCATTCGGGTCTGGTATGGCCACGTAACATGCAATAATGACATACGGGGTCACAGAGTTTGTACTGTTGCTTGTTTGACCATACTATACCACTGTGTTATGTTTCGTTGAGCTGGATTCAGGAATGTTTCCTGGATCAAGTCCAGACGCTTTGACAAATACCGTTTTATCCTTTGAGTTGCTTCCAGTGAAGCCCAAACCGAATTTTGCAGAAGTTTTTCTTCCGGAATCAAGGATTTTGTCAAGTGTTGAAGTGGTGTCCATTATTTGGATTTGTTGTTTGTAGGTGCTTAGCTCCTGCTTCAAGGTCTGTACTTCCTGTTTCAATCTGCCTTCTCGGTCAGCCACTTCTTTAAGAAGTACATCCCTATCTGCTATTTGAGTTTGGTACACTTTACTAGCATTTGTTATAATACCTATCTCACTAGTTAATCTAAGATTTGCTTTTCGTAGGGCTTCCCATTTGGGATACAACTTATTAAACTCAACTTCAAAAGATAAAACATTTAATTTTAAATCTTCCGCTGAAACATATTCACCACCCTCTGAGTTAGCTCCTTCATCAGGTTCTAAACGACCAACAACACGAGCAGTAAATGCAACAAAATTACCGGAGATTTCTTCTATATCAGATCCAGTTGTTTCAGCATCAGGTTCGTCGTCACTCCAGCTAATGGCGGACATAGATTTTTTGTGTCTGAGATAGGTGGGACACTCTTCTTGTACATGTCCAAAACCTTCACACTCATAGCATTTGATTCCTTTATTATTAGATATTTCTTTGGACTGCCCTGGACGTGAGACAGACTGCTTGAAGCTTGACGATCCTGCCCTAGGGCCAGTTGTGGACGATGTTGCTCCTCTTTGTGGATTTCTATTGCGCGAATTTTTTGAAAACTTTTTCAAAATTCTAGTGAACTGTTTAGTCAAAAATACAACAGTATCATCACCTGGTTCGTCTAAATGAAATACAACATTATTTTCTTCAGGGACAAAGGCTACATTTTTTTTTTATTTTTTTGTGTGATCAGTTAAAATTTCCATTTCATGGGTTCTACGATTTCCCATTGACTGTGTAACAGTTTTGTTCTCTCAGCCATCGTGTTCCTGAATAGCCGTGACTTTCATTCTGAACCTCGGTGGTAAGGACCTAAGAATTTTTTTACAAGTTTTGCGTGTGGGAAAGGTTCACCGAGGACCATTGCTCGATTCGCTAGTTCCTGTATGTTTGTGTGAAAGTTCGTGATGGTCTCATCCTCATTCATCCAAATCTCTTCAAAGTCGGACTGGACTAGTTGCAGCTTTGATTGTTTCACTGACGTAGTTACTTCGTAAGTTGATTCAAGAGCCTCCCACGCACCGTTAGCTAAATCAATACCTGCAACTATAGAAAGCAGATTTTTATGCATAAGGGAGTAAATCGTATCTAAGGCCTTACCGTTATATCCAGTATCAGTTTTTTCAGTTTGGGACCACTCAGTTTCAGGTTTAGCTACTTGCATTCCGTCAGCACTAGAACTGGCTTTGGTCGGATGAATCCAACCTGTCACCACGGACCGCCATACTCCATCACCCTGAGAATGAACAAATTAACAGAATAAAAAACCTTAGCACGATCCATTTTGTAACACGGACCTCAATTGTTGATGCTGCTGATCCTGATGCAGTCGAACTGACCCAGTATGATCAACACTTCCCTAACAATAGTATAAAGTAATTTGTTGAAGTAGTGATTCTGGAAACTTTCTCTAAAAAAATAATAATATTCTAATTCGTGTGAAATAAAGAGGTAAGCATCCCATCCTTTTATATTGAAATTCACTCAACGAATTCCCCATTATGTGCTATCCATACGCCTTTACCAACTCAAAGCCATACTAGAATAAATTACCACCACAATAAATAAGCCATGCATCCTTCGACTAAAGATCAGATCCATACTTTCGACTTCCACTTAATTATTTGCACCTGATTATTTCAATTGCTGTAGAATGCATGTGATAGGAGACGGTCTATAGGTTAATTTCCAAAATAAATTCTAATTATTTTGTCAATTAAATTAGCCAACATAAAAGGGTTTAATGTGTATCATTTGTACAAAATGCAAAATTTTAAATCTAAACTGTAAATGCTAGATGCTAAGCAGTAAAAAGTGAACCACTAAACCAAATAAAACAAAAAATGCAGTCATAAACTCTAAAATAGAAACCCCAAGTACAATGCACTTTTGCATTTTTGCAAGTGCAATATTCAAATACTAAATATGCAAAATGTTAGTACTACATATGCAAATCTGGAAAATTCTGAAAATTAAAGATTTTTGTTTTCAAGTTTGCATAGTAAAGTTGGTGATAATTACGAAAATGTCAACACATGTTTTTTCTTAAGTCGGATCTGGAACATCCATTTTTCCCAAACGTAAAGTTGAGATTGGTTCTTAGTTTTCACCTAAAGACTTATTCTCATATGATCGAACACATGAGATGACATTATATATTTTCGTTATATAATTATGAATATAAGATTCGGCGGACCAATTTGTTAAAATTGACCATTCTTTTTGTGTGGTATACAACATTAGTTGTAATTTTTGAACGGTTGTGTCCATGCCTATATTGATTAAGAAGTCGTTACAACATACAACCCCGAATAATTAATTAATACATTTTAATATTAATTACATATTTTATATGGCCGTCAAAATTTTTATTATATTACTAATTCTAGATCTCGCCTACCAACAGATGAGCTGGCATTATAGTTTCTATTACATTATTACGAATTTAAGATCCGGCATACCAAGTTGTGAAAATGGAACTTTTTTTGTGTTTGGTGTATGAAATTAGTTGATATTTTGAATAGTTGGGTCAATGCCTAAACCGATTAAGAAGCAACACAATATACAATCGTGAATAATTAATAAATATATTTTTATATTAAATACATATATTTTATATAACGGCCAAAATTTCTATTATATTACAAATTCTAGATCTTACCTACCAACACATGAGCTGGCATTATATAATTCCATAATAATATTACGAATTTAAGATTCAGCATACCAAGTTGTAAAAATCTTCATTGATTATTCCAAATTCGAGATCCGACATACCAAAAAGTTGTGAATATCTATATCGATCATTCAGTTGTAAACTTCCAATTTAATTTGTTTTTATTTTAGTAGCATAATAAATATAAAATATCGAATTGAAAAGCGTTAAGGAATAACAACCACACCCAACTATAAATAGACCACTACACATTCAATGCTATCAATATACTTTGTCTCTACATCTTTTGTGAGGGAATTATATTTTTCTTGAAAATGTCTAGCAATAATGCCAATCGAAGGGTGGGTAGAGGTAGGCAAAGGATTCCCCTATCTAGAATTGAAAGTGACACTAGTCGTAGTGTTGCCTTCTCGAAACGCCGCAATGGTCTTATCAAGAAGGCCAATGAGATATCCACACTATGTGGGGTGGAGATTTTGTTGGTGATTTTTTCGCCTTCTGGCAAGGCTTATACTTTCAGCAACCCTGGTATGGATGCGATCTTAACCAAATATTTTGGTGCTAATCCTACAGCACAACCCTACCCTGCCGAGCAAGTTCCTGCCGAACAAAACTTGCGTGCTCACCGTGAAGCCTTGATGCAAATCATGTCTTCCCAAATTAATTACCTGGAAATGCAGATTGAAGAAGAAATAAAAGTAAATAAAGTTTTGCGTGAGGCCGAAAAGGTTAATCCTCCTATTTCTGAACTTCCATTATCAGAGCTACCATCCATGAAACACAAAATGGAAATGCTTCGAGATCTTGTTCTGCAAAAACTATTGCAAGTTCCTGGTCAAGCTCATCTTGATACAAGCAGCTTATTCGGCTATTCACAATTTGGAGCGAATGACAATGTTGGCCCAAGTGGTGGTGCTAGTGCCCAATAAAGAGCCAGTACGAACCAAATGATGATGGAGGGACCTAATTAGAAGCAAGAAGATATTTATGAGTTTTATTTCAGTATATTTATATGTTTTCTCTGCATTTTATTATGGTTTTAGTTATTACATACAGATGATCGATTAAGAGATAATATGAACGGAAATGTGTGTTTTGGATATCTTTTAATAAAAATATCTTGAGTCTATATTGTTATGAAAATTAAGGACAAATTTATTTGACCAATTACCTTTTTTATTTTTTAGTTTCAATGGCAACTATAGAAGTGTTATTAAGACACATTATAGTAAATGTAAGGAAAAAAAAGAGTGGCATGCCATCAACAAAGATATTTTCTTTTGGGTAGTAATTAAATGGTACGGAGTATTATATTACAATACCCTTTTTAGATGTAATTAATAAATTGTGGTAGTATCTCATGCTGACTCATCAATCTTCAATATATCGATAGAGTAAGTTTTGTTTACCTATTAAAAAAAAAAGAAGAGGAGAGAGAGAATAGAAATTTTCAAGATGAAGAAATTTCCATTAAATCTCCAAAAGCTTAATTAATACTGGCTTTTTTTACAAATTTACTTTAATGTGGGCTTACAATGATAAAATAACTGTTCTCAGCGGATTTCTGTGAGATTATTCGTCTAAGAACATTCGTTTTGTTTCTTTTGCTATACCAACTTCTTCTAAATAGGTTTGATTTAATTTTTAGAAATATTTGATTTTGTTAATGCTGTGATGATGAGATGAACACCGTAGCTTTGGTGTTTTGGGGAGTGGGTAAAATAAAGTTGGATTTTTAATCCTCCTCCGTGAGCCCTCTTCTAATAAATAAATATAAGACAAGTTGGATACTTTGCAAATGATATAATAAATAAATATAATGCAGTTTGTTGATTGAGTATTTGTTAAGACCTGGTTTGCTTTTCTTCAACAACCCAAACATGTAGCAGTGATTTAAGCTCGAGAATTTGCTTAGTCACTGTAATTTCTTCTCACCCCGTTATACCACTGTTATGTTTTGTTGAGTTGGATTCAGGAATGTCTCCTGGATCAGGTACAGACGCTTTGACAAATACCGTTTTATCCTTTGAGTTTCTTCCGGTGAAGCCCAAACCGAATTTTGCAGAAGTTTTTCTTCCGGAATCAAGGATTTTCTCAAGTGTTGAAGTGGTGTCCATCATTTGGATTTGTCGTTTGTAGGTGATTAGCTCCTGCTTCAAGGTCTGCACTTCAGTCTTTCTTCTCGGTCAGCCGCTTCTTTAAGAAGTACATCCCGATCTGCTATTTGAGTTTGGTACACTTTACTAGCGTTTGTTATAATCCCTATCTCACTAGTTAATCTACGATTTGTTTTTCGTAGGGCTTCCCATTTGGGGTACAACTTATTAAACTCAACTTCAAAATATAAAGCATTTAATTCTAAATCTTCCGCTGAGACATATCCACCACCCTCTGAGTCAGCTCCTTCATTAGGTTCTGAACAACCAGCAACACGTGCAGTAAATGCAACAAAATTACCGGAGATTTTCTTCTATATCAGATCCAGTTGTTTCAGCATCAGGTTCGTCGTCACTCCAGGTAATGGCGGACATAGATTTTTTGCGTCTGAGATAGGTGGGACACTCCGCTTGTACATGTCCAAAACCTTCGCACTCATAGCATTTGATTCCTTTATTATTAGATATTTCTTTGGACTGCCCTATACGCGAGACAGACTGCTTGAAGCTTGACGAGTCTGCCCTAGGGCCGGTTTTGGACGATGTTGCTCCTCTTTGTGGATTTCTATTGCGCGAATTTTTTGAAACCTGTTTCAAAATTATAGAGAACTGTTTAGTAAAAAATACAACCGTATCATCACCTGGTTCTTCTAAGTCAGATACAACATTATTTCTTCACCGACAAAGGCTACATTTTTTTTTTGTTTTTTTGTTGTTTTTTTTGTTTGATCAGTTAAAATTTCTATTTCATAGGTTCTAAGATTTCCCATTGACTGAGTAACAGTTTTGTTCTCCCAGCCGTCGTGTTCCTGAATAGCCGTGACTTTCATTCTGAACCTCGGTGGTAAAGACCTTAGAATTTTTTTAACAAGTTTTGCTTGTGGGAAAGGTTCACAGAGGACCATCCCACGATTCGCTAGTTCCTGTACGCGTGTGTGAAAGTTCGTGATCGTTTCATCCGAAGCTCTTCAAAGTCGGACTGGACCAGTTGCAGCTTTGATTGTTTCACTGACGTAGTTTTATCGTAAGTTGACTCAAGAGCTTCCCACGCACCTTTAGCTGAATCAATACCTGCAACTATAGAAAGCTGACTTACATGCACACGGGAGTAAATCGTATCTAAGGCCTTATCGTTATATCCAACATTAGTTACGTTAGTTTGGGACCACTCAGTTTCAGGTTTAGCTACTTGCGTTCCGTCAGCAATAGAACTGGCTTTGGTCGGATGAGTCCAACCTGTCACCACATTTTTTTTCTTAAGTCTAATCTGGTACATCCATTTTTTCCAAATGTAAAGTTGAGATTGGACCTCACTTTGACAGCTGTGGTTGTCCGGCTGTCCTCGCCGGACAGCCACGGCTGTCTGTGAATGGGCAGCCACCGGCTGTCCTCGCCGGACAGCCGGTGACTATTATTATTATTATTATTATTATTATTATTATTATTATTATTATTATTACTTTTTAAATTTTTTTAATTATTTTATTTTATTTTATTTATTTATTTTTTAATAATTAATAAATATGTAACATGTAAAAAAAAAAAAAAAAAAAAAAAAGCTAATTGAACAAATTAACTGGTAAATGGGTCTATTTGACACTTAATTTAGTTCGTGGTGGAAATTGAGCACTTCGCAATAGTAGATGGGCCTATTTGACACTTGTGCCTTTATATTATTTTGGACTGAAGACAAAAAACGCAGTGACATTTTCATAATTATTATCGATCAACTTTACTATGCAAACTTGAACACTTAAATATGCAACATTTAACAACTAAATACGAAAACCTGGTAAATTTTATAAAATCAATGTGAAATTGCACCGTGAATCTTGAATACAATATGTACTTCTCCTACGTCTGCGGGGCAACTCACGTCTGCCCAATCCACTAGATGTTCACCAAGGTGTTTTACATGGGGTGAGTACATAAGGCAATCAACCACTACTACCACTAGAACCTTCCTAACATCAAGAACAGGATTGGTACGTGCATGCCTTCATTGACATCAATTGTTGATGCTACTGATCCTGATGCAGTCGAACTGACCCAGTACGATCAACACTTCCTTAGCAATAGTATAAAGTAATTTGTTGAAGTAGCGATTCTGGACAGGGACGGAGCCAGAAATTATATTGAGGGGGGGGGGTGAGGGGGGGGGTGGGGGGGGGGGCAAAGAAGTAGAACGGATTTAGAAATTTTTTCCAGTAAAAGCGAAATATTAAAACAAAAGAGATTATTTTAAAAAAATAAATAAATTATGTAAGAGTTTTTTTTTTTTTTATAACCATTACTTAAGAAATATAGTTTTCAATATTGTTGGATATGTGCGAAAAATAAAACACATCGAAATTTTATAAAAATATTCATAACAAAATATGAAACATAATTAATTTGATAAAATAATTTGAATAGAAAACACATTATAAATTACACATATTAAATATTAAAAAAGTGATTGTGTTGAAGCCATAGGAGAAGAACTCAAAAATATGTATAACTATGTTAATGCAAGGATTTGAAACCAAGACCTTTTATATTCACAAAGACATACCTTATCAACTAATCTAACTCCTTACTTGTTAACATTTATTAGTTTTTTTTTATACTAATACTAAAATCTATACTATATATACACACAAAGATTATATATGGAGTGGGGGTACGGTGAGGGGGGCAGCTGACCCCCTTGCCCCCCTTTGGCTCCGTCCCTGATTCTGGAAACTTTCTTTCAAAAATAATAATATTCTAAATCATGTGAAACAAAGAGGTAAGCATCCCATCCTTTTATATTGAAATTCACTCAACCAATTCCCCAATATGTGCTATCCATACGCCTTTACCAACTCAAAGCCATACTAGAATAAATTACCACAACAATAAATAAGCCATCCTTTGACTAAAGGTCAGATCCATACTTTCGACTTCCACTTAATTATTTGCGCCTGATTATTGCTATTGCTGTAGAATGCATGTGATAGGAGACGATCCATAGGTTAATTTCCAAAATAAATTCTAATTAATTTGTAGGAAAATTGTAAAAAATGCCCCTCTATAATATGACAATTATCAATGTCACCCCTGAATTATGAGTGGTGTAAATGTTGCCCCTCAATTATCAAAACAGTGCACATATAGCCCCTCCCGTAACGGACATGTGGTTCCCCGTTAGTGTACGCACTACAAGAAAAATCGCGAATCGCGACGGAAACTCGCGACGGACTATATTCCGTCGCCATTTAGCGACCGAATTTGCGACCGAATAGATTCCGTTGCGAAATGGCGACGGAATTAATTTCCGTCGTGTATCTTGGCGCAAACATAAAATAAAGTCCGCGAAATTTTGGCGGCAAATATTCACGACCGAATTGGCGACGGAAGTAATTTACGTCGTCCATTTTGCGATCGAAAAGGCGACCGATTTCTGTTCCGTCGTTAAATGGCGACGGAATTGGCGACCGATTTCATTCCGTCCTTAAATGAATTAAACTATAGATTATGGACTAAATATGGCGACGGAAATTGCGACCACCTATATTCCGTCGCAATAATTTAATTAAATTTTTTTTTTTTCTACTTAAACGCTGCGTTTTGACTACTAAATATGAATTAAATTAAAATTATAAAACATCAGAACTCCCTCGTGAACCCTAAGTCCTAAAATTCTCAAAGACATCATCGTGAACTCCAGAACACTCCCTAGCTCGCGAACACCATCGTAAAACTCCATAGCCGTCATCACCGTGCGCCGTCGCCGTGCCGCCGTGGTCATCACCAAAACTCCATAGACGTCGCCTCCTCCTCCATTTCTGACCGGTAATCTTTTTTATTACTCATTTTCTGGAGACTTCAATTTTAATTTCTGGCCTTTGGTTTATTGGAAATTACTGTAGACTCCAACTTCTCCTAGAGCCAAATCTATGTGTATCACGGTGTAGTGTATAATGCTTGGGAGATAAAGGCTAAAAGAAGATATGCTGATTACATAAGCAGAATAAGGAAAATGCCAAGACCTCCTTATGTCCCAACAGAAATATGGACAAAATGGAATGATGTTTGGAATTCTGAGGAGGGCAAGAAGAAAACAGAATTGGCTAAGAGAAATAGGCGTGGAGGAGTTTTAACTGGAGTTGCTCAATTTACCCATACCACAGGATCAACACCTCACGTAAAAGTTGCAGCTCAACTTGTAAGTTATTTGAATTGTTTAAGTTATAAGTATTATGTGTTTTGTATTATATGAAAATAAGATATGGAAACCTGAGATTTATTTGAACTTGAATGATTTGATAATGAGGATTGATTGAACTTAGGAGTAGAAACTGCAGAGTTAATTTGGGAAGCACTAGCTTAAATCTTTTAATGAGGATTCTAGGTAAAATGAATAACTAGAGTTTACTTGACTCCAACTTTTATGTTTTTTGTTGATTGTGATTGTGTTTTATTGTGTTTATTGATTGATGTTGGAGATTATAATTGAATTGTATTATATATTGAACAGGGAGATAGTCTTATATACAAAGGAAACTCTGCCGAATTTTTTCTTACTTTAATAATTGCTTTTGTTTGTTAAATACAATTTGTAGGAAGGACAATTGGGTCATTGTCCATCGTATTATGAACTGTTCAGGCATACACATACCAAACAACACGATGGGCAAACATTCATAGCTGAAAAAGCCAAACAAATTCATGTAAGTTTAATTTGTTTTAAGTTTTTAAAATATCTATGCCTTTACATATATTTTGCACTAAATCTCTACCATATTTTAGGAACAAGTTGAATCGCAACGGGAGATGTTGGCAGAAAATGGGGAGCAGGTGGATGACAATCAATTATACTATGACGCGGTTGGTGGACACGATAAGAAAAGAAGAGTTTATGGACTTGGTTCATATGGTTGTTCTGTTGTTCATGGTCCAACTAATGATAACACTTCTAGCAGTATGACACCAACATCACGACCACCCGACAATGCTACTTCTACTTCTGCAAATGTACAACATGAAATTCAGAGTTTGAAGGAAATTATTCTCCTTATGCAACAACGACTTGATGCTATTGATGGCGGGAGAGCGGGTACTTCATCATCACCTCCATCTGCAATCAATTGATTTTAATGGTTGTTTGTTAATGTTTGTTATAATAATAATAATAATATTATTATTATTATTAGTAATATTAAACCAAGTAGTTAGTTAATTGGTTAAAAATAATGGGAGTAATTATAGGTGCAGTACATGGCCATGATGTTAGCTTTACATGGAGAATTAACTCCTTTATTTTAGCATTTGAATTATCTTATCTAGTATAAATAGATTTGTTATTCAAGCATTTCTAATCATCAATAAAATTATCTATTCCTCTCTCTCTCTTCTCAATATATATAAATATAATATATAGATATATTATATTTAATATATATTATAGATATATTATATTATATTTAATATATATTATATTAAATATATTATATTTAATATATCTAACAATGTTGTTTTCAGAGCCAGTCAACCTTTCAACCCCGAGGTATTTTTCATAGTGAATTATGGCCACAAATTTGAATATTGTATTGTCGGGTCCCAAATTGGACGGGAACCTCGATTACAATTATTGGCAAATTATGATGTCCACACATTTGCAAGCTCAAAATCTTTGGAGCTTTGTTGATCCCAGTCTACCCGAAGGAGCTGATGCAGGCGCTATACGGCGAGATAAATTGGCCTTGGGTCAGATTCACCAAGGTGTTCATTATTCCATTTTTGGGCAATTAGCTCGTGCTCAAACAGCAAAACAAGCTTGGGACATCTTAAAGGTGTCACACAAAGGAGTCGATCGGGCGCAGAAGTCTAAGTTGCAGTCGTTGAGAAGGTTGTACGATAATTGTGAGATGACCTCTACAGAAACAGTAGATGCGTATTTCACTCGTCTTATTGATATGGTGAATAAGATGAGGCTATATGGAGATACGATTGAAGATGGTGCAGTGGTTGAAAAAGTTCTTCGAACTATGCCGATGAAGTATGACCATGTGGTGGCTTCAATAACAGAGTCACACAAAACCGAGCTCTTATCAATTGCAGAGCTGAAAGGTATGGTAGAAAGTCATATTGACAGGATTGCGTCAAAATCGGAACCACTAGCAGAAGAAGCTTTGCAGAGTCAAGTCACCCTTAATGTGACTGGCACTAATCAAAGAGGTGGAGGATCTGGTAGAGGTCGTGGAAGAGGAAGAGGAGGTTCTAGTGGAAGAGGTCGTGGTAACTTCAACCAAGGAGGAGGACGTGGTAACTCCAACCAAGGAAGAGGTGGAGGTAATACCAAACAAGGTAAATTTCCATTTCATTGCTACAATTGTGGCAAGTATGGGCACAAGATTGCAGATTGTTGGTATAATGAGGACAACAATCGTGGAAATCAAGCAAACATTGCTGAAAACACTGCTGAAAAGTCTGGTGAGAGTTCTGAAACTTTACTTTTAGCCAACGATAGTTTTTCTACAGATAAGAACATATGGTTCTTGGATACTGGGTGTAGTAACCATATGTGTGGGAAGAAAGAATTGTTTTCTGAATTGGATGAATCAGTCCGGTCTGAAGTAACGTTTGGCAATAAGTCAAAGGTGCCAATTTTGGGAAAAGGTAAAATCTCTATTCAGTTGAAGGATGGTACTCACAATTTTATATCCGATGTGTTCTATGTTCCTGAACTACACCAAAATTTGTTGAGTATGGGTCAGTTGTCAGAAAAAGGATATAAGATACATATTGCTCAGGGGTGTTGTACCATTGCAGATGCTAAAGGAGTTTTGATTGCAAAGGTAAATATGTCCCAAAATCGACTATTTCCTTTGAAAATTAAGCATACTCTCCTTGCTTGTTTTAATTCTGAAGTTTGTGATGATAATTGGTTATGGCATATGCGGTTTGGGCATTTTCATTTTTCTGGGTTAAACTATCTTGCGAGAAAGGAACTTGTTTCTGATTTACCTGTTGTGAATGTCCCTGATCGTATATGTGAGATTTGTGTGATTGGGAAGAAGCATAGAGATCCCTTTCCCGTGGGCAAGTCAAGGAGAGCTACAAAACAGTTGGAGATTATTCACTCAGACCTATGTTCGTTGGAGGTTCCCTCACATGGAGGTTGTAAGTACTTTATTACTTTCATTGATGATTTCAGTAGGAAAACATGGGTTTACTTTCTGAAGCAAAAGTCTGAAGCATGTGATGTTTTCAAACAATTTAAGACTTTTGTTGAAAAGCAAAGTGGTTATGAAGTTAAAATCTTGAGAACTGATAGAGGTACATAATATATTGCTTGTGATAATTTTCTGAAAGAAAAGGGTATTCAGCACCAAATGACAGCTAGATACACTCCACAACAAAACGGAGTGGCTGAGAGGAAGAATAGGTCAATCATGGATATGGTGAGGTGCATGTTGAAATCCAAGGATCTGCCTAAACCTTTTTGGGCAGAAGCTGTTGCTTGTGCTGTCTATGTGTTGAATAGGTGTCCAACTAAGAGTGTCCGTGATAAGACGCCCGAAGAAGCTTGGAGTGGGAGAAAACCCTCTATCAAATATCTCAAGGTTTTTGGATGTTTGGCATATGCCCACGTGCCGGATCCATTGAGAAAGAAGTTGGATGATAAAGGTGAGAAATGCATATTCATTGGTTATAGTGACGCTTCAAAGGCTTATAAACTATACAATCCTGAAACTAAAAAGGTTGTTATAAGTCGTGATGTCACTTTTGATGAATATGGTGCCTGGGATTGGTTAGCTAAAGATGAAAGTTCAGTTGTTATTCCTGCTGTTGAAAATATTATTGAAGAGCAACCGATTCCAGATAATGTCCAGTCTCTTTCACAGCCAGAATCGTCAGTTCGACGATCTCAGCGCGAGCGCCACTTACCAGCTCGCTTGCAAGATTATGTTTTGGGTCAAGCTAATGACCTGTCTGATGAAGAGATTATTCAATTTGCTCTCTTTGCAGATTGTGATCCTTTAACTTTTGAGGAGGCTGCTACAGAAACTCATTGGCTTAAGGCGATGGATGAGGAGATACGTGCCATTGAAAAGAATGGTACCTGGGAGTTAACAGATTTACCTCCTGGAAAGAAGCCGATTGGAGTAAAGTGGGTTTACAGAACGAAGTACAAATCAAATAGAGAAATTGACCGTTTTAAGGCACGGTTGGTAGCAAAGGGTTACAAGCAGAAACCAGGTATTGATTATTTTGAGGTTTTTGCTCCTGTAAGTAGACTTGATACAGTTCGAATGGTTATTTCTCTTGCTGCTCAAAATGATTGGAAATTGCATCAAATGGATGTCAAGTCTGCTTTTCTGAATGGTTTTCTTGATGAAGAAATATATGTTGAGCAACCTGCAGGATTTATGAAGAAAGGGGAGGAAAATAAAGTGTACAGGTTGAGAAAAGCCTTGTATGGCTTAAAGCAAGCGCCTAGGGCGTGGTATGGTTGCATTGACTCATATTTTGTTGAAAGTGGTTTTATGAGATGTCCTCATGAACACACTTTGTATGTCAAATGCACGGATTCTGGTGATATTGTTTTAATCTGTCTGTATGTTAATGATCTGGTTTTTACTGGAAACAACTTGAAGCTAATCTCAGAATTCAGGGAGGCACTCATTAAGAGGTTTGAAATGACCGATATGGGCCTTATGTCTTACTTTCTTGGCTTTGAGGTTATTCAGATGGATGGTGGAATCTTTATTTCACAAAAGAAGTATGCTGCTGATATTTTGAAAAAGTTCAAAATGGAAAACTCCAAACCAGCTTCAACTCCGGTAGCTGAAAAGTTAAAGGTGTCCAAAGATGAGTGTGGTAAGAATGTGAATGTTACGTCTTATAAAAGCTTAATTGGAAGTTTGAGGTATCTGGTGGCAACAAGGCCAGATATTTCTTTTGGAGTTGGGATACTTAGCAGATTCATGGAGGAACCAAAAGAATCACATTGGGCTGCAGCAAAGCGAATTCTGAGATATGTCAAAGGTACGAGTAATGATGGAATTTTTTACTCTACTAATGAAGTAGTGGAACTTGTTGGGTATACAGACAGTGATTGGGCTGGAGATATTGAGACCAGAAAAAGCACATCAGGATATGCCTTCTATCTTGGTTCAGCCATATTTTCTTGGTCTTCAAAGAAGCAGCAGATTGTAGCACTTTCAACCGCAGAAGCAGAATATATTGCAGCAGCAAACTGTGCTACTAAAGCAGTTTGGTTGAGGAGAATTTTGGAGTTCTTACAACACAAGCAGGAAGCACCAACAACTATTTTTTGTGACAACAAGTCAGCAATTTCGTTGTCCAAGAATCCTGTCTTTCATGGTCGCAGTAAACACATTGATATCAAGTATCACAAAATCAGAGAACTGGTTGCTGAAAAACAAATCAACATTGAGTATTGTTCGAGTGAATGTCAAGTTGCAGATATTTTTACGAAGCCGTTGAAGACAGAGACATTTCTTAAATTGAAGAAGGATATTGGGATGACCAATATATTCAACTTGGTTTAAAGGAGGCAATGTTATAATAATAATAATAATAATAATATTATTATTATTATTATTATTAGTAATATTAAACCAAGTAGTTAGTTAATTGGTTAAAAATAATGGGAGTAATTATAGGTGCAGTACATGGCCATGATGTTAGCTTTACATGGAGCATTAACTCCTTTATTTTAGCATTTGAATTATCTTATCTAGTATAAATAGATTTGTTATTCAAGCATTTCTAATCATCAATAAAATTATCTATTCCTCTCTCTCTCTTCTCAATATATATAAATATAATATATAGATATATTATATTTAATATATATTATAGATATATTATATTATATTTAATATATATTATATTAAATATATTATATTTAATATATCTAACAATGTTGTTTAGACTTGAATTGACTATTATATTATGTATT